GAAACCATAGAAATTTGCCTGCCTCAGGGTCCCATCTGGTGTATACAACCTTCAAAAGCGCACAGGGACCTCGAGTCAGGGATGCTGGAGTGAAACTTACCTGATCCCATCAACCTCCAGGTTGGGGAAACCACCGCACACACACACACACACACACACACACACACACACCCCTTCTTGCACCCAACTGGGCAGCTGCCAGAGCTCTTACCGTCCTCGCTGTCAGCACCTGGGAGGAGAGCCAGCAGCAATGGGAGCTGCAGAAACAGCATTTCATTTGCAGATGTTCTTTCTTTTGCTCAGGAAAATTGGTCTTTGGTTTCTGTTCTGAACAAACCTACCCCACAATACCTCTGTTCTGACTTCCTTCTGCTACCAACAGACCAACCTTCCCTTTAGTCATTTTCTGAAGAAAAAAAAAACCAAAGCATGCTTCCTCTAAAGCCTGGACCTCCTGCTCAGATGCTCGGTTTCCCTGCAGTTCTGACTCTCCTCTGTGGCTCCCAGCCTCTCTCCGTGTCGCAAGCTTCCATCCTCTTCACCTTCCCTTAATTTAACTTCTGTGCACCAATTCTTTTCTTTTTAATATATTTTTATTGAACTACAGTCAGTATACAATGTTGTGTCAATTTCTGGTGTCCAGCACAATACTTTAGTCACTTAGGAACATACATGCATTCATTCTCATATTCTTCTTCACCACAGGTTACTACAAGATATTGAATATGGTTCCCTGTGCTGTACAGTATGACCTTGTTGTTTACCTATTTTATATATAGTAGTTAGTATCTGCAAATCTCAAACTCCCAATCTATCGTTTCCCACCTAATTCCCCCTCTGGTAACCTTAACTTTGTTTTCTATGTCTGTGAGTCCGTTTCTGTTTCGTAAATAAGTTCATTTGTGTTTTGTTTTGTTTTGTTTTGTTTTGTTTAGATTCCACATATAAGTGATGTCATATGGTATTTTTCTTTCTCGTTCTGGCTTGATTTAGAATGACATTTTCCAGTTTCATTCATGTTACTGCAAATGACATTATTTTATTTTTTATGGCTGAGTATTATTCCGTTGTATAAATAAACGACAACTTCTTTATCCAATCATCTGTTGATGGACATTCAGGCTGTTTCCACGTCTGGGCTGTTGTAAATAGTGCTGCTATGAACGTTGAGGTGTATGTCTTTTTGAATTAAGATTCCCTCTGGATCTATGCCCACGAATGGGATTTCTGTATCATATGGCAAGTCTATTTTTAGTTTTTTGAGGAATCTCCATACTGTTGTCCATAATGGCTGCACCAAACTACACCCCCACCAACAGTGTAGGAGGTTCCCTTTTCTCCACACCCTCTCCAGCATTTGTCATTTGTGGACATTTGAATGAGGGCCATTCTGACTGGCGTGAGTTGATACCTCATGGCAGTTTTGATTTCCATTTCTCTGAGAATTAGTGATATTGAGCATTTTTTCATATGCCTCTTGGCCATTGGTATCTCTCCATTGGAGAATTGCTTGTTTAGGCCTTGTGCCAATTCTTGGATTGGGTTATTTGCTTTTTTCTCATTAAGTTGCATGAGCTGTGTATATATTCTGGAAATTAAGCCCTTGTCAGTATCATCTTTTGCAAATATTTTTTTCCCAATCTGTAGGTTGTCTTTTTGTTTTGCTTATGGTTTCCTTTGCTGTGCAAAAGTTTGTAAGTTAATTAGGTCCCATTTGTTTATTTTTCTTTAATATCTATTGCCTGGGTAGACTGCCCTAGGAGAACGTTGCTGAGATGTATGTCAGATAATGTTTTGCCTGTGTTTTCTTCTAAGAGGTTTATAGTGTCTGGCCTTGTGTTTAAGTCTTTAAGCCAGTTTGAGTTTATTTTTGTGCATGGTGTGAGGGAGTGATCTAACTTCATTGATTTACATGTAGCTGTCCAGTTTTCCCAACACCATTTGCTGAAGAGACTGTCTTTACTCCATTGTACATGCTAGCCTCCTTCGTCAAAGATTAATTGACCAGAAGTTTGTGGGTTGTAGCCTTGGATGAGTACAAACACCCTGACATTTCCAGAGGGTTTTGAGGTGGCAGATATTTTGATTCTGTTCTTAGATATCCAAGCATTTTATACAATATTATATATTTTTATATTTTTCCCTCAATAGAAACTACTCACGTTGCAACCCACCATCCCAATTCAGTCATCAAGCATCTCCCAATTTTTATTTTGTTGTGTATGCTTTGTCTTTGGAGTCTTAAGTGCAGATTGTTGAGTTAATCATCCTCCATTTATAGCTCTGAGCACACTTCGTCTGTAAAACATTTGATTTTTCAATCCCCATAGCTTTGTCTTCCCCACATTCTAATGTATTAATGTGTTATCCTCTGTGCATTCTTATCAAATGTGGTATTGTGTGATATACACAGCTTTATTTTTCACACCTGCTATTATCCTGCATATGCATCACTTATTAATATATCTCATTCAGCACTCTTTCAGAGGCCTCCTGTGTTACTCAGTCTAGTCTGTTGTTTCTACCTGCCGCACAAAATCCCCTAGTGTGTATCTACCTCGTTTTACTTCTGTGTTCCCATTGAGATGAGCATCTAGCATGATTCCAGCACCTCACTACCATAAAAGCTCTGTGACAAGCATCCTTGTACGTGGTCCCTCCTGGATCTGCTCAACATTTTCCATTACACACATTCAGAAGTGGGATTGCAGGGCCAACATGTACGTCGTTAGACCAGTTACTACCACAAACTCTCCAGAATTACCTCAAAACCATCAACGTGTGGGGATGTCTATGTGTTTCACATCCCTGCAAACACTGGGCTTCTTCTTTTTTTTTAAGCCTAATAGTTTATTTCTTTTTTGATTGAAGTATAGTGAGTTTGCAATGTTGCATCAGTTTCTGGTGTACTTCCACAGCTTTTTAACGCTGCCAATTTGGTGGTATAAAATGACATAGAGTCTTAATTTGCATTTCTCAGATTACCAATGAGTTTGAGTGCAACTTTAATTTCAACCAAAGGCATTCTATGGGTTCTTCTCTTACTTATGTATTTCATTCAGAGCTCTTTTCAAGACCTTCCCCTATTACTCTGTGTATATAGGTATGAAATAGATTTTATATATATGTATGAAATTTATTTTTAAAACTTCAAATACTTCCCTCAATTTTCTACCCGATAATTTTGCTCAGTATAAACTTTATGGAAGAGAAAGCCATCCTTTTATAAAGTAAAATACAACAATTTTCACTTCTAAGAATTTTTTTGCAACAAACCCCGATTTTATACAGTTTGTGGTACAGAAGCAACAATACACAAAACAGTGGAACATCTCAGTGGCCCCCAGCCCTCCTGAA